GTTGTTACAGGTTCTTTCATTAATTATTATTCTCTTAATTTACATGAACGTTCTTGGAAATCTTACATACCTTGTTTGGTTGATTGTAAACTGCACAAATTGATAGTATTAAAAAAGAAAAAGAAATTGAAATCTTGATTTAACACGGGATATCACATTCACAAACCCCAATCTTCTATCTACTCGCAGAAGATCTTGAATCTTTTATTTTGCTCTGCATGTGTTTCAAAGTAGTATATTTTTGTTCTTAAAGTCGGAGCCTATGTACTCAAGTCACTTTTTATGCACATATTTTAAGAGAATTATATATACTGCTCATTTATCCACAATTCATTTTTATTTATTTAAAATTTATAACGTTTTATAAACATTTTCCAAATATGCTTTGAAAAAAAAAGGGTTTTTGGAATAGCTTTTGGTTCCTTTACGAAGGCCCCAAAAATGAGATTGTCGAAAAGTTGTAGCATGGTCTTTAATTCTGTCTTTTTATCTTTTTCAAAAGCTTTTCAATAAGCTTTTCGTTGCCTCCTATAATGTTTGGTTGGCAGTTCCAATTAGGGTTAAAAGGTAGTGAATTGTCTAATAGAGTTCTATTCAATTCAATTGAGTGAATTAAACGTAATCGTAAAAATTTAATACACAGATCGTTTAATTGTATATAATTCATTTGAAGTGATTACCGTGATTGTAAAATCTTCTTGGACTGACTTACAGGGAAGGGTGAGCTACTGACATGTACGACGAAACAAAATTCGGAATTGTACCATGCTGTTCTTGGTGGTCTAGGACAATTTGGCATAATCACAAGAGCAAGAATTGCACTTGAAAAAGCCCCCCAAAGGGTAAATTTTACCTTTCTTCTCAATCGATGCTGTCTTGTTCTTGTGCTTTTCTCTTTATGGTGTGGGGCTTATATCCTTGCACAACTTTTCCTAGTACTAAAGCTAAGGACTATACATTAAAAGCAAGCCAACATACATATATTTCTATTGTTTGATTCAGGTGAGATGGATTCGAGTGTTGTACTCCAATTTTACGGCTTTTACGCAAGACCAGGAGTATCTAATATCCTTGCATGGACAACCAGCCACGAAAAAGTTTGACTACGTCGAAGGTTTTGTTATTGTTGATGAAGGCCTTATAAATAATTGGAGGTCCTCTTTTTTCTCCCCAAGCAACCCAGTCAAGATTTCGTCTCTTAATGCTGATGGAGGTGTCTTGTATTGCTTGGAAATTACCAAGAATTATCAAGAATCCAATGCCAATACCATAGATGAGGTAAAAATATTCTTAATCTATCGAATTATGCCTGACTAGTTTATTTTCATATCTAACGTGCCCGTAAGAACAAGAAAAATGAAATAAAAAATAGCGTACCCGGTAATCCTAAGTGCGTAAGAATGTCATCGCAACTTGCTCTAGACTAGCGTAGTTTGTTGGACCCTAGTACGTATGCTATGTTCGAGTAGTACAAGATTTTACCTACAAATTGTGTAACACCATTATTTAACTAGCTCCAGTTTGGTTTTGCTTAAAATTAAACCTTTAATAAAAATTGATTAAACGTGTTGTTAAAAAGTTATGATTGAAATAAGTTTAAAATAAATAAATTTTAAAAAACGGAGCCAAACGTTGCTTTAATATGGGCTGCATGGCAAACCACTTTTGACAGCAAAGTAAGGGTAAAATAAAAATAAAAATAAATAATATCTGACTCATTTTGAGAGCAAAAGGTGGCCTCATTCCAATAAAACATCTTCTGCAAGCCAGCCTTTTCTTCTCTTACATAAATAATAAAAAAAATAAAAAATCAGAAGATTCTGCTGTAACGGCTGTCGATTTGTTTTGTTTGTAACACATATATTTGGGAATTATAAGTTTGTTTAATTGTTAATTTAGTATAGTGTGACCATGTTACAAGATTGTGCAATCACTTTTGTTCTTTTAATACGAATATTTTTTTGAAAGCAAAAGGTATTAAAAGACGAAAATGAACATGTAAGATCTTATGCAATCTATCTGCAACTACTTGCAGATAGGAGCCAAGTGGGTTCAAGGTGGACCATATTGGAATTTGAAAAAAAAAAAAAAAAAACTTTTATATAACTTTTTTTTTAAATATTATTATATTTATGTTTTAAAAAAATTCCGCAATCAAATTAGGATCCTACTGAATCGAGTCGTAACTTTGTCACTGTCTACGAGAGTCGTGTTCTAAAAGCAAATATATATTTTATTGTACTTTAGATATTATAATGCCCAAACTTAAACCGTCCACCTATTAAATTAATTATGACCCCAATAATTTACTTTTAGATATAATTAAATAATCTAGACTTGCATGCAAAAGCACAAGCACAAGTTATTCTAGCCATATAAAATGTTCCAACATTGTCGCAAGGAGAAAGACAAGAAAGAACGTAGATAAAATTTTAACTTATTTATGAAATTTTTGCAGGAAGTGGGGGCTCTTTTGAAGAAATTAAATTTTATTCCATCTTCGGAATTCACGACCGATCTTCCTTATGTGGATTTCTTGGACCGGGTTCATAAGGCAGAGTTGAAGCTGCGGTCCAAGAACTTGTGGGATGTGCCTCACCCATGGCTGAACCTGTTTGTACCCAAATCAAGAATTGGTGACTTCGATGAAGGAGTGTTCAAGGGCATTTTGGGAGATAAGACCAGCGGTCCAATTCTAATCTACCCCATGAATAAAAATAAGTAAGAAATACATGTCTTTCTTTATGTCTCAAACTGCATCCATGACATACCAATTATTTTATTTAGGTAAATTGGTCCTCAATCTTTAAAATGAGCAAATTAATCCCAACTTTTCATAATAGTTGTACAATTAATTTCAAGAATGATTTCCCTCGAGAAAAAATATCTTTTTAACTTCTCTACTTTGCATATATCATTGATTTTCTCGCTATCTGATGTGGTATATTGTCTAATACAATCAAATGTTCATTTTTATTAGGTGGGATGTAAAGAGCTCAGCAGTGACACCAGAAGAAGACATATTTTACTTGGTAGCGTTTCTGAGATCTGCATTGGACAATGGGGACAAGACACAGACACTCAATTATTTGACAAGTCAAAATAATCAAATCCTAAGATTTTGCGGTGATGCTGGGATCAAAGCCAAACAATACCTTCCTCATTATACCACACAGCAAGAATGGATGGACCATTTTGGGGATAAATGGACCCTTTTTTCCAAAAGAAAATTGGAATTCGACCCCAAGCATATTTTAGCCACTGGCCAACGCATTTTTAGACCTTTCTTCAATCCTAGTGCACCATTATTGTGATAATTAAATCACACAATATTTTTTGTACATGCTAACTAAGTATATTTTCAATTTTACCAAAAAAAAAAATGGCACCTAATTTTTTATCTTCTCTATATTCAAATGAAATGTCACTTTGTTTAATTTTTTTTTTTTTTTAAGTTAAGAGGGACTAAATATAAGAAATTTGAAAAGAAAATAAGTGGTGTAGTGTTCGACTAGTTATATTTACGAGCATTTTCATGATCGCGTGCTAAAACGAGGCTAACCGAATGACATTTTATATTGAATGATATATTTTTTGACAGACGATGATTGAGGTGTATCTCATCAAAATTTCCTTGTATATTTCTTAATTAGTTTAAAATAATAAATGAGTTGTTTATAGGGAAAATTACATAAATCTAGATATTTAAAGATTGCTTTTTAAAACTCAGATCTAAAGTTTATTTATTTAAAAATCAGGTACTATATTAAAACCCTAATTTATCACTCTCTACTCCCTCCCCACTCTCTCGCGCCTCCCCTCCTCTTTTCCTTCAAACCCCAGCAATCGGCGATAGAGCTGCTCCGGCTGACACCACACCACGAGCCCCGTCGTCGTCGACGCTGCAAATTGAGTAGGAGAAGAGAAGGGGTGATGGTGCTGGTGTGAGGCAAAGGCAATGGGAACAGTTTTTTTCTTAGTTTAATTTCTTCGCACGGATATGTGGAGTTGTATTTTTGGTGGTCAATGGTGAAGGTTTGGTATGGTTCGCGATCGTTGTTGTGGCAGTTGCGATAGTGAGGTTGTGGTACGGTGGTGAGGTGGTGTTGTGACGAGGCGACTATGTTGGTGGTGTTGTGTAGGCGGCGACGGTGGTTGTTTGGGTGGTAGTGTGTTGTTGGTGTTATTGTTGGTGGTGGTTGTGGTTGTGGCAGTGGAGGCGGCTGCAGGGATGGGGACAAAGAGTGTCTGTGATCAACTATTTGGTCGATTTGTGACCAAATAGTGGTGGTGGATTGAGTTCGGGGGACGAGTGTTTAGGTGCATGTAACTAACTATTTGGTTCTCTGTGACTAACTATTAAACTGTGACATTAAAATTCGATAATCTGTGACTAAAAATATAATTTGTGACCAACAAATTTGAAAATATGTGATCGATAGGTAAACTGTGATCTATAATTTTTTTAATTTGTGACTAAATAAAAATTTGTGATCTTTACATTTTTTGATTTGTGACCAATGAAGTAAACTGTGACCAATAATATTTAAATAATAATTATTTTTAATTAATTAACTAAATACTTGAGTTTTGTATTTTTTAAACTTGAAACCTGATTTTTGTATTGGTAAAATTTAAAATCTGATTTGTGAACTCTTCCCTTGTATATAGTGGAAATTACATATACCCCTACTTTTCAAGATGCAAGTTCAAAAATCAGATTTTAAGTTTTATTGTTCAAAATTCAGATATTTTATAGATAGATACAAATTTTTATATTTAATTAAATATTAATAATAATATTATAAAAATTAATATATATACACCCTTCCCCACACCTAAAATAAATTTCAAACCCTAAATTCTCCCCTCTCTGTATCTCCCCGTCTCTCACACCTCTCTCTTCCCTCACCGGCGACTTCGCCATCTCTTCCGGCGGTCTACTCTCCCTCGGAGCATCCTTCGCACAGATCAGAACAGCGGCG